TGAAATTTGACAAAATCATATCGATTGGATGACTTTGCGGACCTTTGGTTTATCTTTGTTTGCAGGGTTGATTTTAATTTGGCTCAGACTTTTTCCAAAATGGTGTCAAACCTTCCTAGATATTTTAACCTTTAGATAGCCCATAAAGATCACAGTATTTATCATTCCGTAGGGCTGTTGGTGCTGAATTGTGACTGGACAATTAGGAGAAAAGATTGGGGCAGTAGACTGGTAGAATCCATCTTGATCATCGGATGACCTTTCAGGAAAGAAGGTGGGGACATTAGTTTTTTCCCCTTAGCTCTCCATATTTTTCCGTCCCTCTTACCTTTTGCCCTTTATTTTCCATTTAAAAGGTAATTTGTAAACTCACCATCTTACAACCAGTACTATGGGCTCACTGCCAAGCGGGAAGCAGAATTCTGTCCTTCCATGTTAACAGAATTCTCAGAAAAAAAAAATTATCAATTGTTTCAGTTTATGGGATTATCCAGGACTGTGGGTACTTCAGGAGAAATTGCTGGGACAATGTAGAAGATTTGAAGTTAGTATTTAGTAATACCTGAGTTTGTATAGCATTTATGTTCTGTTTGCCATGTAGCTCCTTCTCCTGTACTAGTCAGCCAGCCACACAGCTCGATGAGTGAGGTCTGCACTGGACGGTCAGACTTCCTGGGTGTTGTGTGCTAGCACTGGCTCTCTCTGACTGTGCTACCTTGGGCAGGTGGCTGACCTTCATGTCCTCTTCTGCAAAATAGAGTTAACATTAGTACCCTCTTCATGTTATAGTAAATAAGAAGACATGGAAAGCCCAGTGGCTGCTCATAGTGACGACTCAGTGAATGCTACTCTTTATCATCCTATGCAAGAGTAGGTGCCACAAAGGTTAAACAAGGACCATTGTTCCACGTTGGCAGTACACAAAGTGCCGTGTACAGTGCTCTAGAAGTTCAAAGGAGACAGATGGGACGAGCAGGTCCCATCTAGCACACTTGGCACAGCCTGTGGCCTCTGGGGCTGATCCATCACCCCCCACATCCTTCCTCCGGCCCTCCTATTCCTTCCTCCTCTTTAAGTGCTGCCAGGTGTGATGATGTTGATATTTCATGCTCCCCCCCATGCATTTGATTAGCTTCTTTTTGCCCTGCTTTCAGGTTTCTTATTTGATCCTTGCAAAAGTGAGGTAAATCACTCTGTCTTTAGATGAGGAAACTGAGGTCCAGGGAAGGTAGATTACTTGCCAAGGTCTTGAGGCTGGAAAACCCAGGTCATTTCCCACTCGTGTAATAGACTAAGTTATTTCTTGAGCCCTAGCTGCCTGCCCGTCCCCAAATCCAGAGGTAGATGATGCAAGGGGTATTAATCCTGCTTTTGCTAGACTGTAGGTCTCTTCTTACTACAGTGGCGCTATCCTCAAACTCTGTTCCGAGGTGTGTTTTCTCAGCACCACTGAGCAGCTGACTCAGTTCTGATGCTGTCTACCTGGAGATAGCATCAGATCCCAGAGGTTAAGGACCCAGTCCCACAAGACTGACCCCACTTCAGATACCAATGCAAGTCTAGGTTGACGTGTGCTTCTGCCTGATTGGCTATTAATTGGAGGTTCCCACAACCCCCACTCACATTCATTTAATTTGCTAGAGCAGCTCCCAGAACTCAGAGAAACATTTTTTTTTTTTACTAGATTAGCATCTTATAAAAAGATACCACTCAGGAACTACCAGATGGAAGAGATGCACAGGGCAAGGTATGTGGGAAGGGGCTCAGAGCTTCCATGCCCTCTCCAGAGCACCACTCTACCTGAATCTCTGTGTGTTCATTAACCCGGAAGCTCTCTGAACCCTGTCCTTTGGGTTTGTACAGAGGCTTCATTACATAGGCATGATTGATTAAATCATTGGTCATTGGTGATTGAACTCTATCTCAAACCTGCCGCCCCTTCCTGGAGGTTACAGGGGGGGACTGAAAGTTCCAACTGTCTAATGAGCTGGTTGGTTCCCCTGGCAACCAGCCCCCATCCTTAGTTTACCAAGGGACTTTCCGAAAGTCACCTCATTAACATAAACTCCTATGTGGTTGAAAGGGGCTTGTTATGAATAGCAAGATATTCCGTTCACCTTTATGGCTATTCCAGGAACTGATAACAAAAGACCAAGAATTATTGGTCTTGTGTTAGGAAATTCCAAGGGTTTTAGGAGCTCTCTGCTAGAAATGGGACAAAGACCAAATATATATTTCTTGTTACAAATCACAATATCACACCTGTGGTCAACTCTTTCTTCCCTGATGGAAAGGACTTTAGATTGGGAGCTGAGAAATATGATTCTAGTCTCAGCCCCCACCCCTCAGTTGTTTGACCTGATGGCCTCACCAGGACTTCCTCCTTTATCTGTACAGTGAGGGCACTGGTCTAAACCTGTGAGTCTCAACTTGTTTTTTTCTAGGACGTAAATGTCTAGTGACATTCCCTCATAGACCTTCTTGTTGGGTGGCCTGCTTCCCAATACCTTAGCTGTAACTCCACCCCTTCTCCTGTACTCAGGGAGTTACCTGGGGATGCAAGGGTTTGAATGATGCTGTTGTAGCAATAACCATGAATCTATTCTAAGGAATCAGAAAAGTGAGTAATGGGCGAGGTGTAAGCCTTTTTGTATGTAACAGATCACTTTAACACCTCCCAATGACCATGTCAGTGCCTGGTGTTAGAGGACCTGGTCCAGAGCACGTCCATCCGGGCCTCCTCATAGCCCTGAGCCCTCAGCCTGCAGACAGGGTGCTAACTTAGCAAGCTTAAAGTAGAAGTATCCTGTAGTCGCTTGAAGTGTGGCAAAACCTTGGTCTGTTTTTTTTTTAAGGTATGCTTTTTGGTGAGGAAGATTGACCCTAAACTAACATATGTTGCCAATCTTCCTCTTTTTCTTTTTTTTTCTTTTTCCTCGCCCCAAGACCCTAGTGCATAGTTGCATATCCTAGTTGTAAGTCCTTCTAGTTCTCCTACATGGGATGCTGCCACAGCCTAGCTTGATGAGTGGTGTGTAGGTCTGTGCCCGGGATCCAAAGGTGAACCCTGGACCGCTGAAGCGTTGTGCACAAACTTAACCGCTACGCCACCAGGCTGGCCCCAACCTTGATCTTTTGAGTCAGAAAAAAAGGTGAACAAATCTCTGAAGAAAATGAGACAATCTCCCAATGGCTGGTCATTTTGTGGAAACTTATTTACTATATGTATTGGTTTATTTGTAGGGTGCAGGTATGAGGGCAGATCCAAGGGTACAGAGGGACTTAGGTTAGATGTGAGACATCTTCATTCTACAAGACTCAAATTCATTACTCATCTGTCCACTGCGTGTGTAACAGTGGGTGTGTAGATTTCTAAACTGGATTAGAAAAGAATTAGCCTGGCACGTTGGAGATCCAGTTTTGCCAGAAAACTGAGGATGGACCCTCCACCACCATGTTTCTTTTCAGTCTTCAGGTTTTATTAATGGATTCATAACCACCCCAGAGATCAAAAAATACAGCCTCTTCTCAAAGCTTCAGTTAATAGCACTTCCGGGACTTTTTAGCTGAGATGCTTAGATGCTAAAGATCTTTGCGGAAAGAGGTCGGGGGAATGGGGACCGTACCACAGAGTCCCAGGTCTGCTTTGTCCGTAGTTAACCAGACCCCGGGTCTTCTGTCTGTTCCTATAGTTCAGAGCATTGTCACTGAAAAGAGGAGGTTTGGAGAAGACTTTAAGCAAAGCGCCTGTGCCCTACATGGGAACATGGGAGTCGGCTTGCTTCCTGTCTCAGCACCACCAGCTGTCAGAGGGCCCGGCTTTCCATACAGCATGGGCAAGGCCCCACAGGAAGGACACTGGTGAAGGTGTGAATTCCTCCTCTGTCCTGGAACAGCTAACAGTTAACATGAACCCTCAGCCTTTTATCTGTTTCATAAGATATGTTGCTGACAGATATTACCAGCATCCAGTGAAACTGTGCATGGGACATTTTGACTAAAAATTAACAGAAGAGTCAGTCCTTCACAACAATATATGGATGTGCTGTATTTGACCTAGGAAATCCAGGCTGGGTAGGTAGAAATCATGGTTACAAAAGGGAGCAGCTACGATGTGAACAAATAAATAACTTTTCAATGGTATTGGATCTTTTTGGTAGAATGGGAAAGAATTAATTCATTTGAAAATAATTTTAGTAAAAGTAAAATGGAGAAATTAGGAGTAGTTTGCGTTTTATCTGTAAAAAATAGTTTATAAAAAATAAATCAAGGGACTGTGTTTGCTTAATGGAATTCAACTCAGAACACTCTCAGCCGAAATCCCCAACACGGATACAATTCCGATGAAACTCCTTGGGTGTATAAGCAGTCCACACTTCCTTGGGAATAGAACAGCAGGGCCAGAACGCCCTGTATTCACCTGGCGTTGTGAAACAGCTGCTACTCTTAGTGGCATATGGCCAAGGCATGTGTGGCATTTGGGAGTGCTCCGGAGGGTCACCCCGCTGCTCCACACACTGTCAGGACAGCTGCTTAGCTGTGGGGAGGCAAAGGTGCCTTGGGTGAAGGATGGAGGCACTGATGACTGGAGGAATTCCTCCCACAGGTGTGAGGTGGAAGGTGAATAATTCATTATTCAAAGACTTTATTTAGTTGCCTTGATTTGCTGCTTCCCTGTCCTCACTGCCCACAGACTCCCTTGGGAAAGGATCTAAAAGAAAATACAGCTCAAATCAGTTGTCAATGACTTCTGATAAACCACAGCAAGGGGCGTAGGACAGGGAGAGCACAATTTGAAAAATGGGAGTTGGAGACTGTCATAAAATAACAAAATTTTGCATAACTTTATGAAGGAGAAATCGGGTCTAGGGTATATCTGGATTGTAATTCTCCATGTTGACTCTGGCCCCACATGGCCATAGTCATTTAAGAGTGTTTGCGTTTATTATGGGTATATTTGCTTTGGAGAAAACATTTCATCCTGTTTTCCTCTCTTTCAGGTTTCAAGTGCCCCATTTGCTCCAAGTCTGTGGCTTCTGATGAGATGGAAATGCACTTTATAATGTGTCTGAGCAAACCTCGCCTCTCCTACAACGGTAAGGGCTTGCCTGGGGGAGCCTCTGAGTGAGGGTCTTCCCAACCTTGCGAGGCTCTGGGCAGCATTTCCACCTGCCTTCCGGCACAAATGCCTGAATGGTGATGAACTGTTCAGGGAGTCTTGCTGCATCAGTCGGAGAGGAAGTGGAGAGGGACAAGGAAGGAAGGCCCAGGGGGCAGGTCTGCAGTACCAGGAAGTCTCTTGAGCCGCTCAGTTAGTCCTTCTACCCGCCCAGTTCCTTGGACCTCTGATGCCTTCACCCATTCACACAGCTGACAATAGGGGGCCTAGAGGGAGTGCCACCTCTCCTTGGGGGAGGGGGAGTCTGTGCAGGTGGTTTGCACGAGTGCTTAAGCCCTGACTTTCCACGGTAGAATAAGTGCAATATGTGCACACCCTTTAGGGATTAAAAATGCTGACCTGCCACCTAGTCTCTCCACCCAGGCCATGCTGCTTCCTACCTTGGGGCTGCCCAGAACTAAGCAGTGAATACAACAGGGGGTAGGATCACCGGGCCAGGGAACTCCGTGAAACCCAAGTTCCCCTCATATGGCACCTCTGTGGACAAAGTGAGTGTCAACATCTGCCTGGTATGCTGATCCGAGTTCAAAGCCTGCCCTCCCACTTACTGGCTGCATGATCTTAGGCAAGTTGCTCAGTTTAGCAGAGTCTTGGTTTCCTGGTCCATAATATGGGGTTATTAAGATCTGATTCATAGGATTATTGTCAGAATAAAGTAAGATATTAGACCTAAAACCCTGCAACACAGAGCCTGCACACGGTCAATGCCCAGGAAGTTATAGCTGCCATTTATAGGGACAGCAGCCCTGAAAGATACAAATTCTTTTTGTCACTTTCCAGAGTGGACTGGCTTCTCTTTAGTGCTCCGTGCCCTGTGCTCTTGGTGGCTGTCTGATTTTCTATCCTTATTTGCTTAGTCTGCTCTTCAAACCGTGTTCCACAGAGAATGGCGTCTTCTACGGAAACAGGCACTGAATCTGGCTGGGGTGTGCTCTGACCCTGTCACTGGGCCTGCCTTCTAGAATTAAAGTCACAGCAGTGCTTAGGAAAAGAGTCCCATGATTTCTCAGAGAGTCTAAGGACAGGACGGGTTGTGAGTCTGGATCACTTGACCCCCATCCTGATGATGAAAGTTTCCTCGGAAGACTCTCCTTACAGATTTGTCCTTGATGTACTGTCCTTGGGCTCCTGCCTCCTCAGATCCAGATGTGCTCCTTCCCCTACACAGCATTAGCCTGGGGAGGCCTGATGATACCAGATTGTTCCTAAGGAATCTGATCAACTCATGGTTCTCCTGAAAACATATCCTGCTATTCTCTTATCTCTTATTTACTTGCTCAGCCAAAAGGTCCTGTATGCCTGCAGGTGGGCCAGTTCCCTGCTTGTCTCAGCTACGTGCGGTCTGGTAACCTTTGCTCAGGTTGGAGGAACAGCTGCAGGGCAGGTTGGGGCCCTGCCTCTGCCTCCAGCGTTTTCTTCCCATTCGTATCCTACCTGGTGTCCAGGAAGCCCCTCTTCTCCCCAGCGGACAGCCTGTTCCTGTCCCTGGGGACTGACTGCCACCATGTCTCTGAATCTGTTGTCAGGCGAGCTCCTCGGCTTCCTCTCAGACTCATCAGTGTGCTGTGCATTCCTTCGAGGATGCTGCAGCTCCACTTTGTTCTGTTCCTCATCTGCCTGGGACCACGAAGGGAGAGGAGTCTTCTCCCGTAGCTCTCAGCCCTCCCCAACCATGGCCTTAGAAACTCTGTTCATTTGTTTTCCACATGTGCAGAGCCCTTGTGAAGACCGCTTTTTGTCCTGTGGGTTGCTGGGGAGAGTTCTCTGTAGACACTGCCTTGCTGTCATAAGAACACAAAGTAGCCTCAGAGTGGGCTCGGCCCGAGAGGACCGGGCTCCTGGTGTCATCAGGGGGAACGTTGCAAGGGCAGCTGTGGAGGACAGAGCGCTCTTGGGGCCACCTGAATAAGGAGTACCCACATGCCCCATTTGGAGAAGGGAAGGTGAGGGGCTCAGGCTCCTTTGCCGGAGAACTGCCCAGGAGCACCGCCATTGCCTCTTCTGTTTTAGCACTTAAGTCCCCAGTGCTGCCCATAGGTCTCCTCCCTGCCTGCGGCCGTAGGGAAGGGTCCTCCTGTTCTTTCACCTTCGCCTCCGTGGGAGAGCAGGCTTGGCAGCCCCACCTGAGCGCAGGTCACCTGCAGAAGCCACACTTGGAGCCAGAGTCTCCTTAGAGAAAGAGGAGGTTAACCAACCAGCCTGAGGCATAACTGCAGCCATTCTTGGTCTGTTCTCATTTTTTCCACCTCCTCTAACTGAAAGGCCACCTCATCGGGGTGGGTGGGTGTGAGTAAACCAGAGGCTTGAAACTCGAGGATCTCTTTTGCAAAAGCCAGTGCTTTACCACCAGAGGCAAAGAGAGGCATGTTGCCTGGGTCCTATCAGTGGGATTTGTCTTAAGGCAATGACGGTGCTTCAGAAGCAGTGGTGTGACCCCTCTGTGTACATGATTGATGCAAAAAGGAGACCTTCACGGCTGGACTCCCCATTTCAGTCTTTGTCTTCTCTGAAAACACCTAACCCTTCCAGATGAGAGGAAGGTGTTAGCCATCTGAGGTCTATATGTGGGATGGAAGTCTCCATCCCCTGGGCTGTCTAAGGCCTGTTCTAGTTCACATAAAGCACAACCCTTTCAGGAGCCGTAGACCAAAGTCCCAAGTCAGGACCTCCGGGTATTTATTTTGGTTTTGCCAGTACATATTTTACCCATGATTTCTCATCATCCCATTGTCCCTGGCTTCACTTTATCTTTTCTATTAAAAAGTGTGAGGAGACAGAGTCTGTGAAGTGTAGAGCTCTAGGAATCTTTCTGGAAAAGGGGCAGGATGAGGCCTTCTTAGTGGATAGAAAGGTGCTGTTTTCTTACAAAGATTCACTAGAACTCCTGGTCACTCCACTGGAGATTCCCCCCCCCCCCCCACCCTACACACACACTTTCTGTAATTGCTGGCACCACTTGGGGAAATTTTTAGAAAATTTACAGTGGTTATATAAGATGAAATTTAGTCAACCACCAAAGGAATAAAGTGGGAACCTCTTAAATGAGGCAGATAAAAAGTAGTATTTTTCTTATTATGAAGGTTGGCCTGAGCCATGGGTTGGAAGGCCTCCAGTAGCCGCCTGCCAGTTAAAAAAAAAAAACAACTTAGGAAAGGCAAGACTAGTTCAGCTGGTTCACCCAGTGCTCAAGAGAAACGTGAAGACCAATAAATGTGGCTCCCAGGGCAAGCCCCTAGCTGAGAAGGTACGCTAGATTGTGAGCATGCCAGCCTTGCTGGAGGGGCAGGGAAGGGAGCTAGACCCCAGAGCTCTGAATGTTAACGTCCTTCATTCTTCTCTTCCTGGGCTCTGAACCCAGGACTCCTAGGAGATGAGGAAGGAGTTATTGGGACCCATATTTATGGGTAAATGTCGTCAGTTTGAATGGGCCTTTTAATTTCTCTCCAGCATCTGTTTGTGGTTCTGAGATTGGGGTAACTCACCTTCAAGAAAACACACTCAAATTTTGACCATCAGATTGCCTTGAGATGGGGGACCTGATTTTGCTATGAATAGAAGAGATTCATAATACGCAAGGAGGGGGGAGGGTCTTGACAGTTGACTGACTGTCCATTGAAAGCTTAGGAGGCCTGGTTCCAGGGCCAGCCAGGGGTCCTTGGCGCAGGGAGATTCTAGCATGTGGCAGATTCCTTTGCCAACAGTATTAAGAGAGCTTGTGGCTGTCAAAGCAGCTTCAAAAGATCCTCTCACCTTAGCTTTCTTCAGGGCACAGACCCGTGCCTTGTTTCTTAGGTCCTGACTGCCCTCCCCTCCTCTCTGCCAAGGGTCATTGCCCCCAACTTCATGGCTCTTAGAATGCTAAGTGTCACACAAGGTTTCTTTAAAGGAGAGGGCATCTGGCTCCACTAAAAGTAGGAATGCCTCCTGCTAGTTTATCCCGACCTAAGCCAGCAGACCCGTGTAAGGCAGACCTAAGCTAGTGACAAAGGCTTTTTGGCCTTTGTCTCTGCTGAGACCCTGGGGTTGGGATGGAAGTGTCTTTTCTTGGGCCTGGGGGAGCCAGGAAGTAGCTGAGCCACTTGCCCAGCCCAGTGGGATGCTGCCAAGAGCTATTGTCAGATGCTCTAATAGCAGCTGAGTCTGGCTGCGGAGGTGTTTGTCCTGGTGCTTCTACAGGAGGGAGGGGTAGAGGGAGCTCCCGGCAGCTGCTGGCTGGCAGGCCACTGGGTGAATGAGGAGTGGGTGGGAGGATGGGGGGCCTGCAGGGAAACCAGAATCCGGTGGCTAAAGGAGAGGGGACTGAGTGGGGTCACTTTTGGGAGCCTCTGTAAATATGCAGCCTTCTGGGCCCAAGCTTTACTCAGCTCACCGCTCTGGGCTGTTGTTATCGCAGCCCACCTTGCTAAGACAGTTGGGTTGCCTCACAGTCCTGGGGTGTTGGGGTCGTGATGCCACTGCTGATAGGGCAGAACTCTTTCTGCTCAAAGTCTCCTTTTTGCCTGGAGATTTCCCAAGAAGGGAGCTGGCATTGGTGGCACTGCCCCTTCCTGTCCTCCAGGAGACTGGGCCAGCAGATCTGCACGTGCTGAAGGTGCTACAAAGACCATGCTTTTCCACACCTAGGCTGGAAATGAGGCTAGGGGCTGGAGTCTGTGTCTCTGTTAATTTGCTAGGGGTCCTCCCTCTGGCTCCCACGTTCCTTCCTGCCAGGGCCTTAACTGCCATCAGGCACAAGGGGAGATGTATTATGTCTGGTCCTGCACTCAGCTGCTGGCTCCGAGCTGCGCAGCATCAGCCTTCCCTCTCGGCTGCCTGGCAGAAATAACTTGTAGCTGTTTGGGCCTCCTCACCCGCTCTGTGCCACTAGCAGTTCTGGGGGTCCCTTGAGGAATGTTGAGCACTCTCCACGGGGCAGCT